AAAGAATATAATTTCAATATAACTAAAATTAACACAATACTAAAATTACTCTTTAACCCTTGTGTTTGAAATCTATCTGTTGGAAATAGGCAGTCATATATACTCTACTCTAGGAAGTTGTAGCTTTAAGAAGAGGAGTAGTTTTTCAGCATTTATCATGTGCTTTCATATGCCTTTCTCTATGCCTATATATATGATTGTAATATAGAGAACTTAAGGGGCATACAATGAAATAAAATCCTTTCTTCCTTTTCCCTCTACTGTTTTAACATAGTATTAGAGCCACCTTCTTTGGGGCCTGAAAACTTTTTTAGCTTTTTCAGATGAACAGTGAACTAACCACTACTACTGCTTCTTTCTATATTATTCAATACTGGGAGCTTTGTTCACAAAGGTGGTACCACAACCCTCCAACTAGGACTCCGGCGACCTTGCCCATCTTTTTCGGCCGCCCATAGTCACACACGCGCTCTCACGCGCCACCTCGAAGGCAGACCTCTGACGCCGACGCATGGAACAAAGGTGATACCACAACCCTCCAACAAGAACTCCAGCGACCTTGCCCATCTTTTCCGACCGCCCATCGTCAACACACGCGCTCTCACGCGCCACCTCGAAGGCAAACCTTTGACGCCACGCGCCGGCGCGTGACGCTTATTCCGACGATTTTTTTCAATGAAAATTTTAAGATCAGCTTGTTTCTTTCCTGCGACCCTATAGGTGTTTTTCTCATATTTTTCCGATGATTATGACAGAACACAAAAGTCTAAACAGTGCATTAAAAATTTTCAGTACCACTGTCTCTCATACCACTGTCTCTCATACTGCCCTTGCATTAAGATCTGAATCAGTTTGGGTCTTGAATTTTGGAGCCACTGATCACATCTCTAGTAACCCTTCCTTTTTCTCTCATATTAAATTCTCATACTCTCTTCCTGCTGTTACTTTCGGTGATGGGTCAAAAGGAAAGGCTATAGGAATTGGAAAAGTCACCATTTATTCTTTATCTTTATCTAATGTCCTTTACATTCCCGGGTGTCCTTTTATCAACTTGATCTCAGTTAGTCAACTTATTCATTCTCTGAATTGTCTGGTTACCTTTTCCTCTGATTCTGTAATTATTCAGAACCGTCAAACAAAGGAGACAATTGGTGTAGGAAATGAATCACGAGGTCTCTACCACCTTTACATCCTATCAATACCAAAATAGCTTGCGATGCTACTGTTTCACCTCTAGGAACCATTGTCGCTTAAGACATCCACATCTCAATAAACTAAAACAACTTGTTCCAAGTTTGTCAAGTTCAAAAGCCATAAAGTGTGAATCATGTCAACTTGGGAAACACTCAAGAGCTTCATATTCTAGTAAAGTGAATAGGAGATCTACTACCCCATTCCCTCTAGTTCATTCCGATGTTTGGAGACCATGTTGGGTTTCATCTATTTTGGGATTCTCATATTTTATTATCTTCATTGATGATTTCTCTCGTGCACTTGAGTCTTTTTAATGAAAAACCATTTTGAATTATTTGATGTATTTCAGAAATTCTACAATGAAATTGTGAATCAATTTGAGGTATCTCTCAAAATCTTACGAAGTGATAATGCAAAAGATTATTTTTCTGACTCTTTCACTTCTTTCTTTTCATCACATGGAATACTTCATGAATCTTCATGTACTAGAATTCCTCAACAAAATGGAGTTGCTGAACGAAAAATTCGGCATCTTGTTGAAACAGCCCGTACTTTTTCATTCATAATAAGGTTCCTAAGAATTTTAGGGGCATGCTATACTTCACTTTTGCTATCTTATAAATTGGATACCTTCTTCTGTTTTGCAAGGAAAAATTCCTCTTCACGTCTTGCGCCCACAGGAGCCTCTCCATAAGCTCCCATTACGAATCTTTGGGTGCACTTGTTTCGCTCATAACTCCCCAAGACGTGACAAACTTGATGCTAAAGCAATAAAGTGTGTTTTCATGGGATATTCTCGTCTCCAAAAGGGCTTTAGGTGTTATTGTCCTAAAACATATCGTTTCTATATTTCCTTTGATGTTACATTCTTTGAAACAACACCCTTTTTCTCTTCCACCTCCATTGAGTGTAATTTTCTAGGAAAACCCACTGAAGTAACAGAAATTCTCCCTGTTCCTACTTTTTCATAACCTGTATCTCACTGAAGAACTATACAGATTCCTGAAAGAACTACACCAAATCCAACCATTCAAGAGGAAGGACATGTTTCACCATTTAAGTACACCTATCAACGACGCAATCGTCAAAACTCCCAAGAGGATGGACATCCCTTGACATAGCTCAATAGAAAAAGATTCTCCCATTGTCAATCGAATAGGTGAAAGATCCACTTGGAACTTTATCCTATCTATAATTTCCTCACACAAAAACGATTGCCTCCATCATTTTGTGCTTTCATTACTAGTTTGTCTATTGTTTCTGTTCCAAAGAATGTCAAGAAGGCATTAACTCATCCAGGATGGACACAAGCAATGATTGATGAAATGGAGACACTTGATTTTTCTGAAACTTGGGAGTTAGTTTCTTTACCTTCGGAAAAAATTGTGGTTGGTTGTAAATGGATGTATAAAGTTGGTCCAGATGGACAAGTTGATAGACTTAAAGCTCGACTTGTTGCTAAACGATACACAAGGAATTTGGCATTGACTATATAGACACTTTTTCACCTGTTGCCAAAATCACCTCTATCCGCCTCTTCCTCTCAATGGCGGCCAATCGCCACTGGCCGTTATATCAGTTGGATATTAAAAATGCTTTCTTACATGGTGATTTTAAGGAGAAAGTATATATAGAGCAGCCCCCTGGTTTTGTGGCTAAGACAAGAGCAAGTCTTGTTTATCATCTCAAACGGTCTCTATATGGGTTGAAGCAATCTCCATGTACTTGGTTTGGGAGATTCAGTGATGTGGTCAAACAATTTGGCATGATCCAAAGTAAGGCCAACCATTTTATCTTTTATAAACATTTTCTTGAAAAAAACATATATCTTGTGATTTATGTTGATGACATCGTCATCACGGGAGATGATACAGAAAGAATTGAATATCTCAAGAACTTGTGTCTACATTTTGCAAAAAAAATCTTGGAAAATTAAAATATTTTCTTGGTATTAAAATTGTTCAATCTGGAAAAGGTATCTATGTGTTCCAACGGAAATATATTTTAGATATTCTTAAAGAAACAAGTATGACAAACTGCAAACTAGTTAACACACCCATGGATCTAAATGTCAAGCTTATTCCAAGACATGGGAGCCTCTACCGAAGATTAGTTGGCAAGCTACTATACTTGACGATCACCTGTCCAGATATCTCATTTGCTGTAAGTATAGTTAGCCGATTTCTACAAGAGCCATGTCAAAACCAGAATCTTAAGATGTTTGAAAAGATCACCCGTCCAGAAATCTCATGGATATACAGAAGTTATTGGATATACAGATGCAGATTGGGCTGAATGCCATTGGGATAGAAGATCAACATCAGGATATTGCATTCTTTTTTATGGTAATCTCGTTTTGTGGAAAAGCAAGAAACAAAATGTGATTGTCCGATCAAGCGCAGAAGCAGAATACCGAGCAATAATGAAGTATGTGAGCTAATTTAGATTAAACAGCTTCTCACAAAACTCAATTTCTATGGAGGATTAAACAGCTTCTCACAAAACTCAACTTCTATAAACTTGGTCCTATGAAATTGATTTGTGATAATCAAGCAGCTTTGCATATTGTCTCCAATCAAACATATTGAAGTTGATTGTCACTTTATACGAGAAAAAGTTGCATCTAGAGACATCATTACCTCATTTGTTGGGTCAAATAACCAACTTGCTGTGTTCTCACTAAAATCTCTTCGGGCCCGAGGATTGAGTACATTTGTAGCAAGCTTGGAGCATTTGATTTATATGCTCCAGCTTGAGGGGAAGTGTTGAAAATAGACAGTCATATTTACTCTACGTTAGAAAGTTATAGCTTTGAGAAGAAGAATAGTTTTTCAGCATATGCCTTTCTCTATGCTTATTGTTTGTAATTTGGAGAATTTAAGGGACATACAATGAAATAAAGTATCCTTTCTTCCTTTTTCCTCTACTGTTTTAACACTATCCTTAATTAGTTTAGATCTGTCTTTGCATCACAATCATTCATTAGTAATATATTAATAGATATGATGAGATCTCATGATCTCATTTATCATTGAGATCTTATGGAAACCGTAGCATACATACATACATACATACATACATACATACATACATACATACATACATACATACATATATATATATATATATATATATATATATATATATATATATATATATAGATAGAGAGAGAGAGAGAGAGGTTTCCGACCGTCTAGCATGCCATTCCTTCTCTCATTCTAAGCAGTCGAAGGAGAGAATGTTAACAAAGAAAAAATGAGAAGAGAAAGGAATGAGTGGGTGAGTAAGAAAGGATGGAGAACATGAAGGAAAAGAAGAAAAAAATAGAAAAACAATTAAGAAAGATGGAAAAGAAAAGAAGAAAATTAAGAAGAGAAAAAGGAATAATAGAATAAAAAGCAAGAACATGATAAAATATTAAAACGAAAAGGAGTAGAAAAAGAGAGTTAGAATAGTAGATTATGAAATGAGGAGAAAGACAAAAAGAGGAAGAACGAAAAGTTTGAAGTAGAAATGAAAGTTAAAATAAAGAGAAAGATAAATACGCAAAGATGAGAAATAAAAAAAAAGAAAAATAGCAAGACGGTATAAGAGATACAATCAACTAAAAAGGGTATGAGGGAGAAGGGAAAGGTTTCAAAGCTGCAATAAAAAACACTCTTAAACAAAAGGGAAATTAACACATGGATTCATGGAATAAACAAAAAGCACATGAATAGTAAAGCAGTCTGTTAAACTAAGGCAAGATGTATACACTCAGGAAAATAATGCGGTCACTTAAAGTGGAAGTACCTTTTTATTTAGAGGGGGAGACTTAAAACTTGGGAATCGCCATCATTTCTTCTTCCAACTCAGCTGAGCTCTTTAGTTGGACGGTGACGTTGAGCTGTTTCAAGTTCAGGTTCCTTAGGCCTTGTCAGTGTAAGCTTAGGCTTCCTCCGCACTGATCCAGGCATACCACATTACAATCCTTAAAATAGTTTAAATTTTTAAAGAAAATGTACTAGAAAAATAATAGAACTTTTAAGCAAGTGTGACATGGAACAATTCAAGCGTTCCATTGACATCTCCCTTGTACTAGATTCAAACTTCTTCATCATTTCTGCCATTGAAATAAAAGGGGCTGCTAGTTCTCGAACACAAATCTCAAATAGAGATTTTCACCACGTATTAGATTCAAAAATTAATGTTCATAAATAAAATGCAAGACATAAAAATGCATACTAACCTTTCTGTCTTCTGTACGTGTTTTAGCAGTTGAAGTGCACAAGCTGCTGGTAGACTTCCCAAGTCCTGTTTTATAGATTAAAGTTTGGAGTTTGATGCTAAAGATATAAGCAAAACTGAGAACAAATTGAGGAGATCAGATTAAAAATATGTAAAAAATGATACACTTAATAAGGTAAAAACTTTTAGTCAATAAATGACTCACCTGTCTAGCTTTCCCCTCTTCAAGTTCTTCCCTCTTTATAGCTTGATTTTTTTGAGCAAAATTTGAAGTTCCAGATGTAATTCTCATATTTGTGTTCCTGTGAATCAAATAATTGATAAGAAACATATTACACAGATTCCAGCACAAAAAATAAAGAGATATAGAACAAAACTAGACAAATATGGAAACTAAATGAGAGATATCGACCTTCTTGCACTAGCTGGATTAATGTTTTTCACTTGTGATTCGGTTTTTGACTTAAATGCAGAGGGATTTCAGATCATACTTGCTATTTTTTAGCTGTCTGGTGCTTCTTAGCAATTAGCATCAATTTGTTTGGATGTTCTCTAAGAAGTTATTTTTGGAGGCTGAGGGGTGCATGCTCCTGTTAAATAATCTCACCAGTCAGTGAAACTAAGTTGGCTTTGTCAGTGAAACTTAATTGAGGCAAACCAAAAGAAAAGTATAAACAAATTTGATATTCACAGAGTGGAGCAAACCTTGGTGTGAGAACAGCTCCTACAGGATCCTTGAGAACTTAGTGATATTACAGCAGAAACAGAACCATGAACAGCTGACGGCTTGTCAACAGATCCCTGAAAAGTTAGCGAAAGGTAATAAGAATCATAACCCCCAAAACAACAGTAGAATACTATGCAGATGGATCAAAACATACCAATTGGCTTCCCCGTCAGGAGTCACTTCTTCCTATCAACAATCCTTATACATGACTCAAAAGTTAAAGCTTATTATGCAAATTCCAGTGCATTGGTGCCAATATTACAGAATTAAGAATCAAACCAATTGTCCTATATATACAGGCATTGAAGATTTATTTTATAGCATAAAAGAACAGAGACAACCCAATGCTGAAATTAATAAAATAACCATCTCTCCATTAAAAAGCTTTTCAAATAAATCAGTTAGTCAATAGTGGCTTCACATACTGTGACAGGCTGGTTATACCATTAATGTGAAAAGAAAGAATTTCAAAAAATGCCAGGGGAAGCATCCATTCCAATTATAACTGTGAGAATAAATGGAGAACACTCCTATGTCAGCAAGAAATTCATACCACCAAGTTACAATAAATCAGGGAAATATTTTGTGTAATAAAGTTACTGTTATTTCTTATTTTTTTTTCAGCACACTGTTGAATTATATGAATGGAATACCTTGGCTTTGATGCCTTGGTCGACATAACTGCTACAAAGTAAACATGAGAGTTTAGCAGGGAAAACTCCATAACATATTATATACAAGCACACGGAGGGAGGGAGAAAAAGATCAAAATTAAACATAAGAAAGAAAAGGCACACTCACAATCCGTGAATACCAATCTAGTGTTTTCTTCCAATCGACGGCAACTTCCATTATGGGGATAAGCTGAAAAGGTTCCGAGGGAGAAGGGAAAGGTTTCGAAGCAATAAAAACACTTTTAACAAAAGGGAAATTAACACATGGAATAAACACAAAGCACATGAATACAGAATACGAAAGCAGTCTCATAAACTAAGGCAAGAGGTACACACTAGGAAAAATGATGCGGTCACTTAAAGTGGAGGTACCTTCTTATTAGAGGGCGAGTTTGACCTTGTTCGTTCCTTTGCAACCAATGTTTCATTTGCAGTAGTATATGATGATGCAGTAGCCAACTTTGTTGAATCTTGAGCCTGAATTAATATGAAAGTAAATTTTTCAGTGAATTCTTGAGTACCCGTGAAAGATATAGCATGCGTAATAGTAATCAATAATGCTACTCATTAGTCATTAGAAAAATAATGAAATGTATAGTTGAAATGCAGAGCTATGGTCTAAGAATCAACATAATATAGACTGTGATCACACTACCTTCTGCATCTCCTCGGCTTCATTGAAATCACAGATACTGTCAAGCTTCACTGATCTTCCACTCTTAATCCTTAGCATAAAAGCTGAAATAATTGACACCAGAATCATTCAAACATTGTTGAAACCCTAGGCCCGTTACAGTGGGCCCATTAGGTTATAGCTAGTTTTCAGTATAAATTATTGTAATCTGTACAGTTCTACATTGAGAAATAGATGAAACCCTTCACACTTTCACATGGTATCAGAGCCTAAACCCTAGATAGTTTTTCCCCTCTCTTCCCCGCTGCCGCGCCGCCGCCGCCACCGGAGTTTCACTGCCGCCGCGACTGGTCTTCTCTCTCCGACCTCTGCCTGGTGGTTCTTCTCCCAAACCGAGACCACAAGCCTCACCGGAGCTCCGTCGCGAGTCTGTGCCCAGAGTCTGGTCGCCATCCGCCGCCGCACGCGCCGTCGCTGTCGCCGGGAACCGCCGCTGTTTTCCGGCCATAACTCTCTCCTCCGATCTCCGATCGAGACGCCGTCACCACCATTGGACTCGTCTCGACGAGACGCTTCCGGGAGTGTTGACCGTTTTTCTCGCCACCGCCCGCCGCCGCCGTTCTCCGGCCACCGCCGCCGGTCACCGCCGGTCAGAGAGAAACAGACAGTGTGTTTTTTCTTTTTGGGTAATCTCTATGGCTTCCTTTACCTCTTATCCCACCATTACTATGGACAAATTGGTTGGGAGTGAAAACTACACTTCGTGGGCCGCTTCTGTGACACTCTGGTTCAAAGGCCAGGGGATGTCTGATCATCTAACCAAAAAGGTTGGGGAAATTGAAGAGTCGAAGAAATCAGATTGGGAGAAGTCAGACGCGTTATTGTGCAATATGTTGTGGCAATCCATTGACCCTAAATTATATCTTATTTACAAGTCTTATGACACTTGTTATGATGTGTGGAATAAAGCTAAGTCATTGTATACTAATGATGTCCAAAGGCTATATTCCCTTGTATCTAATATGCTTAACTTCCGTTCCACTGCTGATATGAGTACACAGGATTTCTTGGGTCGGATGAGTTATCACCGTGTCTCGTCCCCTTACTTTGCATTTCTTTCTCACCTATCTTCTGTGTCTATACCCAAATCCACTCGTGAGGCTCTCTCGGATCCAGGTTGGCGTCAAGCCATGTTAACAGAAATGGAGGCTCTCCAGTCTAGTGGCACGTGGGAGTTGGTTCCTCTTCCTCCTGGTAAAACTGTGGTTGGTTGTAGATGGATTTATACGGTGAAAGTGGGCCCTGATGGCGCAATTGATCGTCTTAAGGCTCGTCTGGTGGCAAAAGGCTATACTCAGATTTTTGGTTTGGATTATACTGATACTTTTTCCCCGGTTGCTAAAATTGCTTCAGTTCGTTTACTTTTGTCTTTGGCAGCCATTCATCATTGGGACTTACACCAGCTGGATATCAAGAATGCCTTTCTTCATGGTGATCTTCACGAGGAGGTTTATATGGAGCAACCACCTGGGTTTGTTGCTCAGGGGGAGTCTGGTATGGTATGTAAACTTCGCCGTTCTTTATATGGTTTAAAGCAATCTCCACGAGCTTGGTTTGGAAGGTTTAGTTCTGTGGTGTGTGAGTTTGGTATGACAAGATGTGCAGTTGATCATTCTGTTTTTTATCGTCATTCTAATGAGAAATGCATATACCTTGTAGTATATGTGGATGACATTGTTATTACAGGGAGTGATCAAGAGGGCATATTTCAGTTGAAGAAGTATCTCTTTAGTCGGTTCCAGACTAAGGACTTGGGTAAGCTAAAATACTTTCTTGGAATTGAAGTGGCTCAATCTAGCAGTGGTGTTGTTATTTCTCAAAGGAAGTATGCCTTGGATATCTTAGAAGAAACTGGCATGCTGGACAGTAGACCGGTTGATAATCCAATGGATCCGAATGTTAAACTCTTACCAGGACAGGGGGAGCCATTGCCTGACCAAGAGCGATATAGGAGATTGATTGGAAAACTGAATTATCTCACGATCACACGACCGGATATCTCCTTCGCAGTTAGTGTGTTGAGTCAGTTTCTTGAGACACCTTGTGATTCTCATTGGGATGCTGCTGTTCGTGTTCTAAGGTATATCAAGAGAGCACCAGGACAAGGCTTAGTATACGAAGATAGAGGACATTCACAAGTTGTTGGGTATTGTGATGCAGATTGGGCTGGTTGCCCGTTTGACAGACGCTCTACTTCAGGTTATTGTATTCTTATTGGAGGTAATCTCATATCTTGGAAAAGTAAGAAGCAGGATGTGGTTGCTAGGTCCAGTGCTGAAGCAGAATATCGAGCCATGGCGCTTGCCACATGTGAGCTTATGTGGCTTAAACACCTACTACAAGAATTGCAATGTGGCAATGTTGCCCAAATGACGTTGATATGTGACAATCAAGCAGCTCTACACATCGCGTCAAATCCTGTTTATCATGAGAGGACTAAACACATTGAGGTTGACTGTCACTTCATTAGAGAGAAGATTGTGTCAGGGTGTATTAAAACTAGCTTTGTTAATTCTGCAGATCAGTTAGCTGATATCTTGACGAAATCCCTTAGAGTTCCTAGAGTTGAATATATTTGTAACAAGCTGGGAGCTTATGATCTATACTCTCCAGCTTGAGGGGGAGTGTTGAAACCCTAGGCCCGTTACAGTGGGCCCATTAGGTTATAGCTAGTTTTCAGTATAAATTATTGTAATCTGTACAGTTCTACATTGAGAAATAGATGAAACCCTTCACACTTCCACAAACATCAATGCCAACATAAAACTAACAGCAGATGCAAATAAGAAAACTAAAAGCATTATCATTACTTTGAATCATCACCCTATATATTGCACTGATTCAGGACCCTCACACAACTTATAACTAGAAACCTGAAGGACCAGTTTAAAAAGGTCACAATCATCACAGAAAAATACATTAATACTAAAGCGATCTCTTAAACTAAGGCAATATGTAAACACTCAGGGAAGAAAAGGCACACTCTCAATCAGTGAATACCAGATCTATAGAGAGAAGAGACGAAGCCACCACACCAAGGTTGCAACTCCATTAAAAAGCTTTTAAATCAGTTAGTGAATAGTGGCTTCACATACTGTGACAGGCCGGTTATACAATTTGTGTGAAAAGAATGAATTCCTTAAAACGCCATGGGAAACATCCATTCTAATTATAATTGTGAGAATCGATGGAGAACACTCCCCACTGCCACCAAGAAATCAGTAGCCGTTTGTCAACATAGCAGCAACTACAAAGAAAACAGGAGACTTTAGCAAGGAAAAAACTCCATAACATATTATATACAAGCACACAGAGGGAGGGAGAAAAAGATCAAAATTAAACATAAAAAAGAAAAGGCACGCTGTCAATCCATGAATACCAGCCTGAGTTTTCTTCCAATCAACGGCAACATCCATTCCAATTATAATTGTGAGAATCGATGGAGAACACTCCCCCCACTGCCAGCAAGAAATCAGTAGCCGTTTGTCAACATAGCAGCAGCTACAAAGAAAACAGGAGACTTTAGCAAGGAAAAAACTCCATAACATATTATATATAAGCACACAGAGGGAGGGAGAAAAAGATCAAAATTAAACATAAAAAAGAAAAGGCACGCTGTCAATCCACGAATACCAGCCTGAGTTTTCTTCCAATCAACGGCAACATCCATTATCGGGATAAGCTGAAAAGGTTCCGAGGGAGAAGGAAAAGGTTTCGAAGCTGCAATGAAGAACACTTTCAACAAAAGGGAAATTAACACATGGAGTTAAAAAAAAAAAAAGCACATGAATACTAAAGCCGTCTCTTAAACTAAGGCAAGATGTATACACTGAGGAAAATGATGCGGCCACTTAAAGTGGAGTACCTTCTTATTTAGAGGGTGAGCCTTAAACTTGGGAATTTTTGCCATCATTCTTCTTCCAACTCAGCTGAGCTCTTAAGTTTTACTGGACAGTAACGTTGAGCTGTTTCAAGTTCAGGTTCCTTAGGCCTTGTCAGCAATCTTAGGCTTCCTCTGCACTGATCCAGCAATACCATCCTAAAAAATAGTTTAAATTTTTAAAGAAAATGTACTAGAAAAATAATAAAACTTTTAAGCAAGTTATTTGTATTTACATGTGACATGGAACAATTCATGTGTAGCATTGACATCTCCCTTGTTCAAGATTCGAACTTCTTCATCATTTCTGCCATTGAAATAAATGGGCCTGCTGGTTCTCGAACATACATCTGAAATAGAGATTTTCACCATGTATTAGATTCAGAAATTAATGTCCAAAAATGAAATGCAAAACATGAAAATGCATACTAACCTTTCTGTCTTCAGTATGTGTTTTAGCAGTTGAAGTGTACGTTGTTGCTGGTAGATTTCCCAGGTCTTGTTTTACGGAGCAAAGTTTGGGGTTTGATGCTAAGGATCTAAAGCAAAAGTGAGAACAAATTTAGGAGATCAGATAAAAAATATGTGAAAAATGATTCACTTAATAAGGTAAAAGTTTTTAGTCAATAAATGACCCACCAGTTTTTGCCTCTATATAGCTTAGTGGAACTGTGGAAGAGAACTAGCAGGTGAGAAACAATTATCTCATATTTCATCATAACTATTTCCTTCTCATTCTGCTCTTCACCACAATCAACAGAGTCAGTATTCAATCAGAGCATCTTTGGCAGTGCAGGTTAAGGAATCAATGGCATCTTAACTTTGAAGGGAATAGAACACACAACATAGGTCTTATCATTGCATGAAGTTTTACATGCGGCAATAGAATGATCTGTGAAAAAGAAAAAGTTTTAACACTCTCAGCTCCACAAAGTTGGAGAATTTGGGGTCTCTATTCACAAGCAACCGATGAACCTTCCAGTTCGAATGTTAAAACTCAGCGTTAATGACACAAATGTATCGGGATATCATAGCAAGAACACGTTTTCGACTTTGTGCTTAACAGATTCCTCGAGGGGAGGGTGTAATACTTGGCCTAACGAGTCTATCCTTGCAAGTTTTGAAGCAGAATGAATCAAATCTGCCCTTTTCAAGCCCAAACAAAACCATCAACCAATTCGCCAGAAAATGAATCGAGAGAACACATGCTTGAAATTACCATTTTGATAGAACCACTGGTTCAGTCGAGCATTTAGCGAAAAAGAGAAGCTTTTCTGTTTTGCCCACCGTCTGGAACAGTATTTTATTTTGTAGTATTTCTTTTCTTCTTTTTTAAAAAAAAAAAATCACAGCCACCTAGTATTTTTATTTTTAATGAGAGAAACATCTGAATCCTATCACCACAATATTAGATTTTGAAGGTTAAAACCAAAGAAAAGAGAAGAAAAAAAAACATAAGATGAAGTATGTCACCTGTAAAACAGATAAAAGATCACTAACCAAAGGATCAATCCTAGTTGTGAGTGCACTAGATCGAGCAGTCCTGCAAACAACTTGCATAGCAAGAGCTAGGAATATACATGGTTGCCAAACCATAAACGAGTCTCAAAAAGAACCGAAAACCATATACACATATGAATGTGAATGAAATGAGAAAGAGAAGAACAAGAACAAGAACAAGAAGAAAAGAAAGAGTGGGTATAATAAGAAGAAAGAGAATGAATATGAGAATAAGAGAAGAAAAAAAGAATAGCAGTAGACAAACAGAAAAGAGAAGATGAAGGAATATGGAAAATGAAAAATGAGGGTTAAAACTGAGAAAAAGATAAAGATTACACTTTAATGAAAAAAATAAAAAGAAGAAAAATAAGAAGGTTGATGAGGATAAGAGATAGAAAGCGAAAGGAAGACGATAAAAGGAGAAAGAAAAAAGACGAGAGAGTGAGAAAAGGAGTTTGGAGAATAAGGAAAATCAAAACTTAATGTCAGGAAGAATCAAAACTTAATGTAAGAACAAATCAATACTGGAAAAAACTACTAACCTGTCTAAAAATCTTTATGCAGGAAATTTTGAAACCCTCAACCCCTGCAAGTCCAAAAGGTGTTCCTCAGCGCTCCCCATATTTGTCATTCTTCATAATTTATCTATGAAGCCTCGAAACAAGATCAGGTGCATCCTCCTGATGAATGTAAAAAGGAAATAACAAAAGAAAGATCAAATGTGAGGATAGCAAATATTTTGTATTTGAAAAGTGCAGTAAGGTATTTATAAGAAAAGGGGAGAGGAATTCAAAAGAAAAAAGTAAGAATAAAGAGAAATAGTAGATAAACAATAAGAAATTCATTCAACTTCACTTTTGGCTGATCAGAAAAAAATACAAGGAAACAAGGGTAAGGGTAATAAACAGGGGATTTAGTCACAAGGCCCAAAACAAAGATATTGTATATCAATGATAAAAATAGAAGGGCTTAGGAGAAAGAACAGATTATAGAAATACATTAGAAGTGAGGGGGTGCCAAACTGGATTGGAGTTAAGCCATAGTTGAGTTGAGTTTGTTTGATATGAACAACATTCAATATGCAACAGAAACCTATGGTCCAAGTAGATAAAATAATCTAAAATAACATATCACAGGGAGGTGCTTACAACTGAGGCATGTGAGGAATTCAAGGCTCTTTGGGTCTTGCATGACCATTCTGTTGCTTGAAATATTCGGACTCCGAGTAACTATTGACAAAGAGAATTGTCAAAAATCATTCAACAAAAAGATAATTTTATTAGTCAGCTGGCAATTAGCATACTTGCGCTTTCGCTTCTTCTTGGTGGCTCAATCCAATTTTCACTGGCAACTTAAAATCAACCTTATTTTCATCCTTCATCAGCAACAAAGTAAAATATCAGAAATGGCAGCTTCAGAAAAAGAACCCCAAAAAACGAAAGATCATAGATATCAGCAGCTGCATAAAATGAGATCTAGATTATCCCAGAGAGAGAGAAAAGATAGCATATGGTCATCCATCGTAAACTTGATAGCATCTTCTGTAAACTTCTTCATCTTGGCATCAAGCTCAGTTGTAGCCTCTTCTCCTTTAGCAATGAACCTATCTATATCTTCATCTGTGATTGTGCTATCCTTGGAACTGAAAACCATCTCACCACCTGCAGTAGCTCATCCTTATTTACAGCTGCAGTGAGTCAAGCCAAGGATCAAAACAATGCTTTTTTCACCAGACCCTGAATCGTGTATACCTGCAAGCAATCCATCAGTTCCGTGGCCTTTGAAGACTCCTTCAGTGCTTCTTCATCAATTCTGAATTTTTTTGCTTTAGGACAAGTGATCAGCTTGTTTCTATTTAACAATTGACAACAGATTGGACACATTCCAGAAGATGGATTTCGCAAGCTTGATAACAGACATAATCTGCACATTGTGTGTGCACGAGGTGTGTGCTTCTTAACATCAATTCTGAATTTATTTGCTTTACTTGTCCAGCTTGTTTCTATTTAACAATTGACAACAGATTGGACACATTCCAGAAGATGGAATTCGCAAGCCTGATAACAGACATAATCTGCATATTGTGTGTGCACGAGGTGTGAGCACAGGATCATCTGCAGACTCAAGTAGGCACCTTCTGAGAGGCAGAATCAGGGTTTGTTTCAACATACTTTTGCGCAACCTTGTCTAAATCAGGGTTTGTTTCAAGAATCTTCTGGGCAAGCTTGTTTGCATATTTGTCTACATCGGCCCGGCTGCAGATTTAGGGGAAATAAACTGTTTTAGAGATCAGAGTATATTTCATCATACACCTCATCACAAGAAAAGGATGGTTGCAACACTGTCTCAGTCTGAGTAGCAACTCAAGAATGTTTGCAAAGTTGCGAAGAACTTCGCCTTGTGCTACAAATTCGTTAAACTGGACCTGATTCATCAACAAGAAACTGTTAGTTCCCAGTCCCAAAAATGCATATCAGATTTCGAACCACATGTCTGAATGATCTGAAAGAACCTTGAAAATGATGTTACTTAACACACACACAAATCAGAGCTTTCTTGGAGGGTATTTAAAGAGCATGAGAAAATGGGAAACCAAACAAACTTGCTGGGGCAGCAAATCTTACTTTAGATTTCTTGTAGAGGGCATCATAGAAATCACCCTCTGCTTCCGACTGTTCACACTCAATGACTTGGATGTCAGTTGGTGGCAGGACAAGAATTGGCCTAATTCAAAGGAACAAGACATCAATAAGCTGCCAGATAAGGCTTTGCTTCTCAAGTAAACTTTGAGTTTTACAAGAAAACTAGAAAAAAAGACAATGAACTACCTCCCTTCCTTGTCCTTTGTTTCCTTTGTTCTCCTAAGCATTAATGGCCTAAGAATTGCCTTGATCAGTTCCAATGCTCTCCGATCACCATTCTCATAAGGTCTCTGTATTAACTTATTCCACCTAAAAGATAGCAAACATTTAAGTAATTCAGTTAAACTTATTAGCATGTATACATACACAGTTAGTAAAATAGAAGACATACCATGCCCAATTGCACCATGGCTCAACATGCAAGAAACACAGAATTGGCCTAATTCAAAGGAACAAGACATCAATAAGCTGCCAGATAAGGCTTTGCTTCTCAAGTAAACTTTGAGTTTTACAAGAAAAATAGAAAAAAAGACAATGAACTACCTCCCTTCCTTGTCCTCTGTTTCCTTTGTTCTCCTAAGCATTAATGGCCTAAGAATTGCCTTGATCAGTTCCAATGCTCTCCGATCACCATTCTCATAAGGTCTCTGTATTAACTTATTCCACCTAAAAGATAGCAAACATTTAAGTAATTCAGTTAAACTTATTAGCATGTATACATACACAGTTAGTAAAATAGAAGACATACCATGCCCAATTGCACCATGGCTCAACATGCAAGAAACACAGAAGGCTGTAAAGATCTTGCAAATTATTCTGCAGCAATTAGTGAGGACATCATTAACATAAATCAGATTTCTATCAAATGAGACGGTCTTATGAAAGCCTCATTTTTTTTTAGGAAATATGATAAATGGGAACTTAGATGAGGAAACATACCTGAAGTGGAGTACCAGTGAGACACCACCTGCAGACAATGTGAATGCAGCCCTAGCACTCGTAGTTCTCCAGGATTTTATGGTGTGTGCTTCATCCAGTACAATTCGATGCCAATCAACTTCATGGAATATGCTACTCTCCGCATCCTAAATCACAGTTAAAAACTGGTTAATGCACATAGAACCAAATGAACAGAATAAACACACTTTCAAGCTCATGGGAAAAACATTGATACTAATCTGAAAAAGGCTGGATTACTTACAGCCTTATATGCAGCAGTTAGAAGACCGTTGTCAAGACCACATCTGGTTCCACTATCACTCTAGGGTCATTACTTCTGTCCCCACCATAATGAACAAAAACAGAAATTACAATCAATATCAGTCACATTTTCATATTGACATTAAGCAAGAAAGGGGCTACAGACTAATAAACTCATCTTCCATTGACCAAGTAATGCCATAGGATGAACAATGAGAGTGCCACACCTTCCATTGACCAAGTAATGCCATAGGACAAACAATGAGAGTGCCACCTTTAATCCTTCTGTTCCTAGAATGCTGAGTAATAGGCATGTCCTCACCTATCCTCAGGGATACCCTTGCCCGGCCTAGCAAGTATTTGAGCAATTGTCATTACAGTTTTCCCCAGGCCCATAGCATCTTCTAAGATCTGCAGAAACCACATTTCGAAGAGAAATTAATATATGCAACAACAACAAAAACCAGGACATCAAGATATTAAATTGGAGTAACAAATAAAACTCACTCCCCCTCTTGCTGTTTCCAATGCAGAAGGAAATTCTGCAGTTGCTTCACCAGAGAAAATGTTCACAATCCTTCAGGAGTCACTTCTTCCTATCAACAATCCTTATACATTGCTCAAAAGTTAAGGCTTATTATGCAAATTCCAGTGGATTGGTGCCCATATTACAGAATTAAGAATCAGACCAATTGTGAAATCCTATATATACATGCATTCAAGATTTATTTCAAAGCATAAAGAACGTAGACAAATTCACAAAGGTAAACACAAAGCTGATATTAATAAATTAACCATCTCTCCATTAAAAAGCATTTCATATAAATCAGTTAGTAAATAGTGGCTTCACATACTGTGACAGGCTGGCTATACCATTTGTGTGAAAAGAATGAATGACCTGAAAATGCCATGGGAAACATCCATTCCAATTATCAATGGAGAATACTCCACTGCAAGCAAGAAATTCATACCGCCAAGTTATAATAAATCAGGAAATGAAGAAAGAGAATAAATATGACGACAAGAAGGGGAAGAATAATACCTCACACCATGAGAAAGATAAACACGCACAAATGAGATTGAAAGAGAAGGAAGGAGGAGATTAACAAAAAGACAAAATAGAACTTGGAGGAAATAGAACTTGGAGGATGAGAAGGACAAGATAAAAATTAAAGATACATAAATGGGGAAAAAGAAACGATGAAAAAATAAGAATTATGAGAGTAATGAAGGGAAAAAAGGAAGAAAATGTGAATGAAATGAGAAAGAGAAGAAGAAGAAGAACAAGAAGGAAAGGAAGAAGAGAAAGAGTGGGTATAATAAGAAGAAAGAGAATGAATATGAGAACAAGAGAAGAAAAAAAGAGTAGCAGTAGACAAACAGAAAAGAGAAGACGAAGGAATATGGAAAATGAAGAATGAGGGTCAAAATGAAGAAAAAGATAAAAATAAAACTTTAATGAAAAGAATAAAGAGAAGAAAAATAAGAAGGTTGATGAGGATAAAAGATAGAAAGCGAAAGGAAGAGGATAAAAAGAGAAAGAAAAAAAGACGAGAGAGTGAGAAAAGGAGTTTGGAGAATAACAAGGAAAAGAGATGATAATATACACATACACATACAAATATACATACATACATAGAGAGAGAGAGAGGGAGAGAGAGAGAGAAGGTCAACAAAGATAAAAACGAGAAGGGATGGGAGGAATGAGAGTGAGTAAGAAAGAATGGAAAACATGAAGGAAGAAAAAGGAATGGAATAGAGAAACGGATAAGGAAGATGGAAAAGAGAAGAAGAAAATTAAGAAGAGAAAAAAAGGAAGGTTAGAATAAAAAGAATGAACATGATGAAAATTAGAACGAAAAGGAGAAGAAAAAGAGAGTAGAGTAATAGATTAAGAAATGGGTAGAGGCAAAAAGAAGAATAATGAAAATTTTGAAGTAAAAGATAATGAAAAATGAGACGATGAAGAAAAAGAAGAAAAACAAAAAAACAAAAGCGAGAGAAAGAGACACGATGGTCAAAATGAAAAGAGAGATAAACATGCACAAATGAGAAGGAGAAGGAAGAGGAAGAGAAATAAAAAAGACGAAGATGATGAGAGTTAAGAAAATTTGGAGAGTGAGAAGGAGAAGTGGCGAAAAAAATCAAAGATATATAAAATAATAGAGAGGGAAAAGGAAAAGAAGAAAAAATAGGAAGAGAATAAGAAAGAGTCAGGATATAGAATAATGTGAACGAAAAAGAGAAAGAGGGGAAGAAAAAATAGTAGTAGACAAAGAAGAATGAAATGGATGGGAAGATTAATAAGTAATGAACTAAAAGAAGATAAAGAAGGAGGATGAGAATAATAATAAAAATGACTATAAGAGTAACTAAGGGAAAAAAGTATGAGAATTATTCAAAGAAAGGATGGAGAACATGAAGAAAAAAGAAGAAAGAGAATGAATACGAGGACAAGATGGAGAAAAATAATACCTCATACCATGAGAAAGATAAACATGCACAACTAGAAGGGAATTTAGATGAGGACAAGAGGTAGAAAACTGAAAAATAACAAGACAAATAAGAGATGGAAGGAGAAGGAAAGGGAAGATTAATAAAAAGACGAAGAGACTTTGGAGAATGAGGAAAGGAGAGGATAAAAATTAATGATAGGGAAAAGGTGGAAAAATAGAAGGGGAAAACAAAAAGAAGAAAAAATATAACGAAAAATAAATAAATAAATATATAAAAGGAAGAAGAAAGACAGAGAATACTGCGTAATAGAAAAGAGAAAGATGAGAAGAAGAAAGAGTAGATAAAAGAAAAATGAAATGGGAAGATAGGTGGAAGGAAAAAATAGGGATGAAAAGGATGAATAGATGACAATAAGGAATGAACTAAAAGAAGATAAGGAAATTTGGCAAGGAAAATAATAGTAAGAGAGAATTATAAAAATTATGAGAACATGAGAGGAAGGGAAAAGAAGTATTATTTTAGGGAAGGATGGAGAACATGAAAGAAAAAAAGGGAAAAAGGAAGAAAATGAGAGGAAGATGAGAAAGAGAAGAAAATGAAGAAGATAAAGAAGTAAGAAGAAAGTGAATTAATACAAGGACAAGGAGGAGAAGAAAAAGAGAGCAGCAGTAGATTAAAAAAACGACGAGAAAGAGCAATAAGAATAGGAAGAAAAGACAAAGAAAAAGAGAAATTGAAGGAATATGGAAAATGAAGTTACACTTTAATGAAAAGAATAAAGAGAAAGAAGATGGATGAGGATAAGAGAGAGAAAACGAATGGAGGAAGATAAACAAAAAAAACGAAAAGAGTGAGAAAGAATTTGCAGAATAAGATAAAAATTTTATATATATATATATATATAAGAAGGTAGATGAGGATAAGAGGTAGAAAGTGAAAGGAAGAGGATAAAAGGAGAAAGGAAAAAGACAAGAGAGTGAGAAAAGGAGTTTGAAGAATAAGAAGGAAAAGAGATGATAATATACACATACATAGAGAGAGAGAGGGGGGGTCAACAAAGAAAAAAAAAGAGAAGGGATGGGAATGAGAGTGAGTAAGAAAGAATGGAAAACATGAAGGAAAAAGAAGGAATGAAATAGAGAAACGGATACGGAAGATGGGAAAGAGAAGAAGAAAATTAAGAAGAGAAAAAGGAAGGTTAGAATAAAAAGAAAAAACATGACGAATATTAGAACGAAAAGGAGAAGAAAAAGAGAGTAAAGTAATAAATTAAGAAATGGGTAGAGAGGCGAAAAGAAGAATAATGAAAATTTTGAAGTAAAAGATAATGAAAAATGAGACGATGAAGAAAAAAGAAAAAGAAAACGAGAGGAAGAGAAACGTGGGTCAAACTGAAAAGAGAGAAACATGCACAAATGAGAAGGGAAGTTAAATGAGAGATAAAAAGCAAAAATAACAGGACGGAATAAGAGATGGAAGGAGAAGGGGAAGAGAAATAAAAAAGACGAGGATGATGAGAGTTAAGAAAATTTGGAGAATGAGAAGGAAAAGTGGTGAAAAAAATCAAAGATAAATAGAATAATAGAAGGGAAAAGGAAAAGAAGAAAAAATAGGAAGAAAATAAGAAAGAATCAGGATATAGAATAACGTGAACGAAAAAGAGAAAGAGGAGAAGAAAAAATAGGAGTAGACAAAGAAGAATGAAATGGAAGATAGGTGGAAGGAAGAAAAATAGGGATGAAATAATGAAAAAGATGGGAAGATTAGTAAGGAATGAACAAAAAGAAGATAAAGAAGGAGGATGAGAATAATAATCAAAAGAAGTATAAGAGTAATGAACGGAAAAAAGTATGAGCATTATTTTAAGGAAGGATGGAGAACATGAAGACAAAAGAAGAAAGAGAATGAATACGAGGACAAGATGGGGAAAAATAATACCACACACCATGTGAAAGATAGACATGCACAACTAGAAGGGAATTTAGATGAGGACAAGAGGTAGAAAGATGAAAAATAACAAGACAAATAAGAGATGGAAGGAGAAGGAAAAAGAAGATTAATAAAAAGACGAAGAGACTTTGGATAATGAGAAGGAAAGGAGAGGATAAAAATTAAAGATAAAAGGGGAAAACATAAAGAAGAAAAAGTATAAGGAAAATAAGAAAAAAGGACATAGAGAAAAATGCGTAATAAAAAAGAGAAAGATTAGAAGAAGAAATAGTAGATAAAGAAAAATGAAATGGGAAGATAGGTGGAAGGAAAAATAGGGATGAAAAGGATGTATAGATAACAATAAGGAATGAACTAAAA